GCAAGGGCACCACGGGCCTGTCAGGGGCACCTCAGGCTCCCGTGCCCCCCCCCCCCCGGATCCGCCAGTGATGCCACACCACGCGAAACACCGCCAACTACCAGCTGCCGCGCAATAAACACGTGCCAACAACAGTCTTTTTTTGAAGGTCGACTCCGCTCGCGCAACTTTTGACTGACCCTCACTGCTACCATATTGCTTCCATATTATGCTGTGGAAAGGTTTACTTCACCAAGTGGCTAAAAACCTCTATCAAGGTATATTTTCTTAGCAATTTTTCTGACGTTTTTTTTTGGGGGGGGGGGCAAACAGGCCATTTTAGGCCTTTGAGGGGGCCATGGCCCCCGTGGCCCCCCCTGGATCCGCCAGTGCTTGTCAATGTGAGGGGAAATTTGACAGCAAATATATTTGCTCTCAAATATGACGCGGCTCATACAATAACAAGAGTGCCTCTGATTGGCTTATTCGTAAATCAAGTGATACTTCATTTGAATGTGTGACAGGCGTTCAAAAGGCAAATGAGTAATGACGTCATCAAATGGCCGTTAATAGTTAAGAGATAGGGCCTTAGCTAAGGCCCACTTTTCAAATGAAGGGAACGAATTTCTTTAACACCACGAAACTGAGGATATTGCGACCAGGATATATAGTGGTTTCTGAACCTGGCCGCCAACTTGGCTATCTCAACCCAGAACTAATGCAAAGGTGGGACAGTCCCTTTAAGTTTGGTACCCTTAGGATATCTTTATCTAAGGCATATATCAAGGAGTGCGTAAGGAGTGCCTAAATTTTGAACAAGTAAAAATGCTTATAATTTTTACTTTGACCTAACCTGTGACGTCATCATTGACCTCGAGGTCGATGAAAATAGGTTTTGCTCGATAGTTTTTCCAGGGCTATCAGACACCCTTTGAATTTTGACAATCGGCCCAGTAGTTTCGGGGGTAGGAGGGGGGCTCTGGAAAGCCCCCCCCCCCCGTCAGTCACTCGCGTTATGGAAGATACCCCAGTCATGCGCGGGTTAAACTCTCAATAGGGGATTTTGACAACATTCACCACCAGATAGCCAGCCCGACTGCCAACTGCTTTTATTAAAGGGACTGTCCCACCTTTGCATTAGTTCTGAGTTGAGATAGCCAAGTTGGCGGCCAGGTTCAGAAACCACTATATATCCTGGTCGCAATATCCTCAGTTTCGTGGTGTTAAAGAAATTCGTTCCCTTCATTTGAAAAGTGGGCCTTAGCTAAGGCCCTATCTCTTAACTATTAACGGCCATTTGATCACGTCATTACTCATTTGCCTTTTGAACGCCTGTCACATATTCAAGTGAAGTATCACTTGATTTACGAATAAGCCAATCAGAGACACTCTTGTTATTGTATGAGCCGCGTCATATTTGAGAGCAAATATATTTGCTGCCAAATTTCCCCTCACATTGACATGAAGTAAATCCTTCATTACGTCACAGATTCGATATAAATGACGTCACGATGAAATATGAAAGTAGCAAAATCTCAAAAAGTATACGATGAAAGCGCGTAAAAACTTGCAGAATTCGTCAAAATATCATGAGAAACATTTCCGAATCCTAAACGGTACTTTTTTTAAGGTGGGATAGTCCCTTTAACCCTCGCTCGTATGGGGGGGGGGTGGTCGAACGGATCGCCCTCTCGGTTTTTCGCAAATAACTCGCGGAAAAAGCGGCCGATCGCAACGGAATTTTCGGCACCCTCGAGTTAAAGGGACTATCCCACCTTTAACATGGGGTTTGAGTTGAGATAGCCAAGTTTGCGGCGAGGTTTAGAAACCACTATCTATCTAGGTTGCAACCCCCGCGGCCTCTTGGTGTTGAAGAAATTCGTTCCCTTCATTTGAAAATGGGCCTTGCGCAAGGCCCTATCTTCAACATGGAGCGACCGTTAGTGTGACGTCACCTCGTTTAGTCATTCTGATTTAAATGGGTTTGTTCGTTGAAAAATCGCTTAAAACTTGGTCTGAACTTTGTTGTGGTGCCTACAAAGTAAAAAGAATCAGCTTTATGACAGTAATGTGGCCTGGGGAAGGCGGTAATTTTGGGCTGTGACGTCACATATTTGAAAGTTTGTGTTTGGAATATGGGAAGCCTAAGATGTTTAATGAAAAATAAATGCCAGAACCGTGTTCCTGGTCATCCAATCTATAAAGTCGGGCACAATTTAACTGGTTTTAACAACATTTTAGAAGGTGGGATAGTCCCTTTAACCCGCGCCCCGCTGGGCTATTCAGCCATACGCGCCCTGCTGGGGGGGGCAGATTCTGCCCCCCCTGTCTAACTTCCGAACCGATGGTCGTAGAAAGGCGGGGAAAACGGCAATCGAAAGCTCTCAACAAGGCGGATCTTAAGAGCCCAAAATTTTTTGCTAAAGTAGGTCAGAGGTCAGGTCAAGGTCAGGTCAAGGGTACAAAATGCAAGTTTCTACAGTATCGGCCTTGCACCGTAGTTGCCGAAGAATGGACTGAGACTGATTGCCCAAAACGTGTTCTTAGACTACCAAGACAATATTCGTTGCATACAATGTCATTCAAAGGTCAAGGTCAAGGTCAGGGCAGGTCAGGTCAGGTCACCAAAAACAAAATATAGAAAAGGGCATGTGCGACACATGTTATATGGTTCATTTTACTCATAGAATTCAATAGGCACACTCAATAAGTGATATGGACCACCTCTGGATGAATTTTAGGTCGAGGTCAGGTCAAGGTCAGGTCAAGTGAGGTCAAATTTTGAAGTTGGTTGTGAAGGCCCAAAAAGGTGTCTATCTGATGCAGTTTTTCACGGCAAATCGAATGGTGCTATTTTTGTTTCCGTACGAGGTCTAGAACTTCCAAAAAAATCATTTTTCAAAAATTTTGTGTGTCGTGACGTCATAAAATTTTGAATAACTCCCACATTTTTGAACCGATTCTTCTGAAAATTGGTATGTAGATGCACATTGACCACTTCTCTGACATATATTCCTGTTTTTTCGATACACTCAAAATTTTGGATTTTATAACTATTTTCCCAAAAAAATCAGTTTTTTGAAAAATTTTGGGCCAAAATCCAAAATTTTCAAAAAACCGAGACAGCCATTTGATAGACAACGTGGAATCACGTATAACCTTTTTTGTTACGTCTTGATTCCTTTAAAAATTAAGATGTTAGCGGCGTTTGAAATTTTGCCGTTTTTGAGGCGAAAATGGCGAACATGACGTCACTAAAACGTCAATTTCTCAAAAATTTTCCGACGGATTTCGTTCAAATTTTCAGGGAACGTGTCAAATTGATGTATGATAAGGTACTGAAAGCTTGACGTCGCTGGCGTAACGCGTTTAGAAGTTATTGGCGAAAAACGGGAGGGGGGGGGGGGCAGATTCTGCCCCCCCCAGCGGGGCGCGGGTTAATCAATTTTACACCTACCCTGAAAATTGCATGACCCGGACCCAAGTGACCATTGACCTGTGTCCTATTTCTCGAGACCATGTTTGGCCGGGATCGCGATTCGGCGTATGTCGGCTCGCATTAGCCGAGCCATTGCGGTCTTTTCGTGGGTTCAAGCGTTCAAACATGTGATATGATGCTGGTCCTATGCATTAGGATGGGTGTCAAGGTTACCTAAAGGTCAGGTATGGTCAGTGAACTTTGATAACCTCGGTTCATATTTCGAGTTTTACATGTTTCTAGGCTATTTTTTGGAGCTGAATTCGAACTTAGGAACAACAAGAACATTTAGAATTACGAAGTAGTTTTGGTGCCTTCGTAACATGAAATATTTTTCTACGTACGAGTGGTTTAATAATTTTATCCCGTACCGCCGATATCTTTCGGGCCCTGAAAGGTAAAAAATACATATTATATTAAAAATACGACATATTTCAGCAAAGCCAGAGACAAATAGAAGCAGAGACAGATAAAGCTTTGAACAACGGTCCAGACAATGTAATGTTTGAAAGTGGCAGATTCATTGAAGATCAAGATCCAAAAGCAATTTAAAAAGAAACGGAAATTGATGTTTCATTGCGTTTCACTGCGCATACTGGTGAAAATAATTTGAAACGGTTAAAAGGGCAGAAATGTCTACTAGACGTTTACCAGTTTGTTAACCCGCGCATGATTGGGGTATTTTCCATAACGCGAGTGACTGGGGGGGGGGGGTCCGAAGAAATTGCCGAAAGGCGATTTGCCAAATGCGATTTTGCCGAATGCATTTCGCCGAATGTCATTTTGCCGATGTGCTTTTTGCCATCGTGTAAAAAAGTCGAAATGCTAAAACTTAAAAGTCGAAATGCCATTTGCCGACATGCCTTTTTGCCGAAATGCCAATTTACCGAAATGTTTATTAGCCGAAATGTAAATTTGCCGAAATGCGATTTGCCGAAATGTCGATTAGTCAAAATGTAAATTTGCCGAAATGTCAATTTGCCGAAATGTCAATCTGCCGAATTGGCAGTTTGCCGAAATGTCGATTAGTCGAAATGTAAATTTGCTGAAATGTCAATTTGCCGAAATGTTAATTAGTTGAAATGTAAATTTCCCGAACTGTCAATCTTCAAACCTAGGTTAGGTTAGGTTAGGTTAAATGGTATTTATTTACTTTAGGACCGATCACTAATTTACTTTTGGTGCAATCCCCCAGTAAGAAGCAAATCACATGATATCCTTTAGCCTCCTGATTTCATAGTTAATAATTTCATATTTAATAATTGTTCTTGGCACAAACAAGTTTAAAAGCACCAATACAATATGGAAATTGACATCAAATTTCTCGTTGCGAAGCAGTGCAGTGCTGAAGGCAATGCCTATTAGGAGAGATTACAGTCAATGGTAAGTCAAATATCTTTAGGTTAAAGGGACTATCCCACCTTTACATTAGATTTGAGTTGAGATAGCCAAGTTTGCGGCGAGGTTCAGAAACCACTATCTATCTAGGTTGCAACCCCCGCGGCCTCGTGGTGTTGAAGAAATTCGTTCCCTCCATTTGAAAATGGGCCTTGTACAAGGCCCAATCTCTTAACCATTAACGGCAATCTGATGACGTCATTTGCATTTTGAGCGCCTGTCACGTATTTAATTCAAGTACCACTTGATTTACCAATAAGCTGGCGTTGTCGGCGCACGGAGCTGGAGTATACCACGGTGAGTAGAGTATACGTCTCGAATTGAGTTTTTTTCTGGTTGTGGGATAATGATGAGTTAGAAGTATAAGTGATCTACTTATTTTGTTTCAATTGGTCATGCCTCGGCTTTGCTGTGTCATTTGCGAAATATATAATACTCAGGGTACAGTTTTCAGGTAAGTTTTAATAGACTGCTTTTGCCTCAGGAGGTGCCAGTTTTGTCAAATTTCGAGGCACTGGCAATGCCATTTTTATTATTTTATTCATGCAAGGTAACAATATGGTGATAATTGTCTTTGGTTTTGGTATCCACACAAATACTTGGAGGGCATTTCTTTATCTCGTTCTTCTTCGCCTCTCCCTTTTTATGCAAGGTTCAAGAACGATATGCCACAAATATTTGTGCTTACAATGTATTATTGTAAAAGCAAATATTTTTAGCATATTTCTCTCCATTTTGTCTACATATTTGTTTTGCTGCATTTTTTCACCTTCACAAATCACGGTGTCCGGTGCACAACTCTTTGTCAGCTAGGCCTTGTGAAGGTCAGACAAAGAAATGTACCCAAGAAGTTTGCAGACAAGGAAATGGCATACAAAGTGCACCTCCCCCCTTTTACATCCTAATGGACCACACCACAAGTTTCTTTGAGAGCATCCTTGATTTTCAGTTAACCGCGGGTTGTTTAAACTGAAAATCAAGGATGCTCTTAAAGAAACTTGTGGTGTGATCCATTAGGATGTACAAGGGGGAGGTTTACTTTGTATGCCATTTCAGTGTGAACAGTTAAACGCAGCTCAGCTCACTTCAGCTCACGTTCCGCTCAAACCAGCTGCGCTCGGCTCAGCTCAGTTTCAGCTCAGCTCAGCTCGGTTTCCGTTCAGCTCAGCTCAGCTCAGTTTCTGCTCAATTCAGCTCAGCTCAGTTTCTGCCCAATTCAGCTCAGCTAGGGGAGCTTTTCCCATATAATAACCATCAGAACAGGGTGAGAGTTCCAATTAGCACCTTTGTCCCACTCCCAATATGATATGGTGCTTATCCCACAACCAACCAACCAACCAACGAAAAGGAATATTTTGCATTTCTAATTGTAAATTTTTCATGCAGAGGTAAGAAACCTAATGGATGAAATTAATTTAATCTAAATGACTGCTTTTGATATTTATAAGTTATAAGTGAAGAAAGCCGAATTATAATTGTCACCAATTTTGGGGATAACTTTGTGGGAAGAAAACGAGACATTTCCCCACAAAAACAAACCTGAAGTTTGAAAAGAGTTTATTATTTTAATAAAGGAAGTTGAATTGCAGGTCAGAGAAAGTGGTGGTCGACTTCAATGATACTTCAGTCAGTTGTAAGGTGGAGATCGCAGATGTATGATGATGCTGTTGTAATTTTGGACTTTATTCTTTATCCCTTGCCTGCACGGGGGGCCACCCGCCCCCCCCCCAGTTAGTATTTTCTGCTCTGCACTCAACATTTTTAAAGCTAGATGCTTGATTTTTCGCATCAGTATAGCTGCGTCTCAATCCTTTCTCAGCGTCCAATGAAAATTTCAAGTTTTTGTGGTTTTTGGTTTCGGAGCTATTACATTGTTCTTCAGGTCATGTCATGACCCAAATGACCACTAGTTACCCAATATCTTGCGTCGGCTATGGCTCTTGTGAGCTTTTGACACCTTGATTTCATTTTTTTTTTGCTGGACTTACCTTTCATCTATCATGATTTTCGATGTTGTATAGATGTCAGGGTCAAGGTCAATGTCAACCTAGGTCATCTAAAAGCATTGCATTTTAGGCTAGCTGTTAACTTTTAATGAAGTTTTTTTTGCTGCATTTTTTGGTAAAAGCTCAGTTTATGATGTCATGTAATAGGGACACACAAACCATTCTGTGCACACATCAGTATACACACAGACACACACAGACAAACACATATCATTGACCTTGACCTAACTTGACCTGAAATGGCCACAACCAGTAAAAATCTAGTCGGATAGTGTGACAAAGAGCTGTTTTAGCTGGCTTGGCACCACAAACGATCAGTATATGATGGGCACAGCACGTGATATTCCAACGGTGGCCCCAAAAAGCAACATTTTTTAGTTTGACCTGACCTGGAAGGTCAATGACTGACCTGAGAAGGTAAAACTGGGTATCATTGGATTCGTCTCTTCCCAAAAAATCGTTTTGGTCCTTACCGCGAAGCTCTATCTCCAACAGGAGCGAAATGGCGCGGGGGGGGGGTGGCAACCACCCCCCCAATGTGCGTTCTAGGATGGGAAAATGGCATGTGCAGGCGAGGGTTAAAGCATAGAGACTAGAGTAGAGATATACTTTGTCGTGTTTTGAGTGTGTCAAACTTTTTGTTTCAAGGGTATGGATATGACTCGGTCGCATTTTCGATTGGCGCAGTTGCGATAGTCCACGCCCCCCGCCCTCCCGCATATACCCCAGCTCTGACCGTGTCCAAACCCCTCCTGTGCACGCCCCAGCTCTGACCGTTCCCCGTCCCCGCCCCCTGTGCACGCCACAGCTCGTTGCGGGACAGCTCGTACACGGAGGAGGTGGCCGAGGACTCGGAGGGCGTCGCCGGCGCAGCCGCCGCGCAAATCGAGCTCACAGCGCTCCGAGCTGTCAAAACTCCGAGCTGGGGGAGGCCCCTGCAGAGGAGCCGCTGCCGAAGGTACCGGCCGCTGCTGATGACCCGAGCAGGCGTCCCCGACGACAAGCAGGACGAACGGCAGGTGGCGCCGCTGGAGGAGCACCACGTCAACGAGTCCTTCATGCGGTACGGTACGCTGCCCAAAGGCGCGCACATCGGCGCCTTCCTGGACTCGCTGCGGGAGAGCGGTTTGCGCGGCAGTGCGGAGGGTGGCGAGGCGGCCGCGGGAGCGGCAGGCGAGGCCCGCGCCCTGCGCAGTCACACGGAAGCAGAGGGCGTGCGGCCGCCGGCATCCGCCGCCGCCGCCAAGAAGCCCTCAGCCATGGTGCGGTCCAACTCGTCCAACAGTGAGTTTCAGAGACCGCGGCTGTCGCGGCTCAGTCCGCTAGTGTTTGCCGGCGCGGCGGGGACGGGGCCGGCGCGGAGTCGGCGACCGACCGGCGCCGGCCGTCGTCGCGCCAGAAACTGAAACCTGCCGAGCTGGGGTTTCCCCCGCCGCCGATGGAACTGCCGCCTCCTGACGGCATCGGGGCCGACTTTATCGTCGACCCGACGTTCATGGCGTGTCATTTCGCGAACTAGCGACCGGAGTTTAGTACACCTCCTCACCGACAGATGGCAGGACAACTGCGTGAGAATATACCTGAGAAAAACGTAAAAAAGCAAAACAAATATCACGATCATCATTGCAAGCGTACAATAAACCGCCAAGAAGACCACTTTAACGATTTATAGGTTTAAAATGGCGAGTTCGCTAAAATAAGATCCAGCCAACATGCCACGGGCTCGCCCGGTATTCATTGCATGCACTTATCATCGAACATTGCGGGCACATTTTTGAACGGAATGAATCGAAACTCGGTGACAGTAGTCTTCAATGTATCCACCAAGCGGAGCCAGGGAACATTTTTGATAAACCTAATAGTTTCAGAGATATTCAATGATAACCGAGATTCCGTCGCTCCGTCGGCGGCGTTCCCGACGATTTAACATGGGAAAATGAGAATAACTTGCAAAATGTACACGACGATTGCGGGCACAGTTTTAGAGTCTCGCACACCAAAATGGCATCAATATGTTCCAAATTGATCATAGTTTCCTGTACTCGGGAACATCTTTGATAAACGGTCCCGTTCTGCCGCAATCGCCGGTAATGTGACGAATCCGCGCGAAATCCCTATGGCAGCCGGTGCGCCGGAGCGGCCGGCCGCCGGTCGCTAGTTCGCGAAATGACACGCCATGTCCCCCCGACGCCGCCGGGCCTGAGGGACCAGTTGTCGAGCGGCGGTCCCGTGATACCGCCGGCCACCCGGTGCCCAGTCCGCGCACGCACGGCCGTCGCCGCAGCCTCTACCGCCGCTGCTTCACATCTGCCAAGCGCGGGACTCTCAAACCGCCGCCGCACCCGACCAGCGCGCCGCCGATCGGCTGCAGCCGCTCGGCCGGCGCCGGCAGCTCGGCGGAGGCCGTGCGCGACCTGGCCGCGGCCGTGGAGCGCAGCCAGGGCGCGCTGGAGACATCGTCCGCCTCCAGCGTGGCGTGCATGCGGCTGTCGGACAAGCTGGGCCTGCTGCTGACGGCGTGCGGCGCGCACGCTGGCCAGGTGCCGCCCACCGGCTGGCTCCGGTTCCGCGCCCTGCAGCGGCGCCTGGAGACGCACGCCGGCACTCTGCGCTCGGCCGGCGGGCGCGCAACAGCAGCGACGCCCAGCGGCTCTTATCCAAACTAGCCAACACAGTGCGCGACATGTTCAATGTGGTGCAGCGATGAGAGACTGGCGACTGCGCCGCCACGAGCTGCCCGCGCCGTTTGTTTTTGTGATATCTAATATCCATTTTATTGCGTTGACGGTGGCTCTTCTACGATTTAGTGGAACCAGTGTGTGCGCGCCGCCTGCGGCCACCCGGGTGTGACATTCCTTCCCGTCTCTGTCTCGTTTCTTATATACAGCAATCGAATGAGTTTTCATGCGTACCCTGTGTTTTGCGGATGCGCAAAACACAGGGCGTAACAGGCCGCCGCCACAGCCTGTTACGCCTTAACTCATATGCTACACAAACAGTCATCGTGATCTCATGATACCCACAACCTACATACCAACTGTTCTAACGATGTGTACGAATGATCGTGTGCCTGTATTTTACCCATGCCTACTTGTTTTTATGCTAATTGACATGCGTTGATGAAAAGCCGCGAAGGCGGATTAACGTGAATAAATGAACTTGAACTTGAACTTGTATGCTTTCACTGAAAGTGGCACATAATTTTAGGGATATATTAATATTCAGATAAATAACGTCAGTCTCGGCGCACTCAATGGTGCGCAGCTCAATGAAACGAACAACACGTTTGCGGTATCTCTCCTAGCTGGTGAAGGGAACGACAATGTCATGGGATTCGTGGAGTCCACGACGGCGAGCAACATTCATTAAGAGGGCAGCGTCTGCGGCAATTGGCCACGGTTCACAGGTCCGTTCTCGGTTGGTGGCAGACGCCAACGACCCGGGCACAGCTGAATACCAGCCGGCCGCCGTCGCCCGTCAGTCCTGCAGGCAGCGTCACTGGCGGCCGGCACATCGAGCGAGGACCGAGGGACGGCTACAGCACACAAAATACGCGGCGGACACTCCCCGGGCGGCGTGGCGCGGCAGGCCACTGCCGCCGCCCCTCTCCACACACATATACATACTCACATAAACACACACTCGGCGCTCGCCAGTCGTGTCGCGCCGAGTTCACAGTTTGATCACAGCAGGACAGGACGTGGTGAGCGCGCGGGTCCCGGACGGCCGGCCGCCGGGCCGCAATCAGCCACCGGCACCGCAGGTCGCACACCGTTCTGCAAGGCCGGCAGCGTCGCGAAAAACACCGCCGGGTCGCGGGCCGCCCCATCATACACTTTGCTGAGACAGACGAAGATCTCAGCACACTTGAACCGGCAACAAAACGTGTTGCCGCACAGCAGCCGCGACGGCGGCGGCGGCCGGGTCGGCGCGCGCCGCGCATGGATGGCTGCTCTCGTCGATGAAGCCGAAGTGAACGTTCACTGATTTTACTCTTTTAATTCCGAACTGGCAGTGTTCACAGTTTACAAGATCACAGGCTCGTGCTGAAGTGGCGTGGCGCGCGCCGCCCCACAGTCTGGCAGTGAGCCTGAGAATCTGCATCTGAGCGGCGGCCTGCCGACTGGAGGACACCTCACACTCAGCCTGTTTCTCGAGTCGCCGCTGCACCTGCGCGCCTGTTCGACCAGCCGCGCGCGCCCCTGCTCCAGGCGCAGGTCAGCCGCGCGTCTCCCGCTCTCCTGCTCCAGCTCGGAGAGGCGCGCGCGCAGGTCCTCCAGGGTGTGGTGTGCTCAGCCTCGGCGGGGCGGCCAGCTCCGAGTTGCGATGCGCCAGTTGCTATTCGGTGGCTGACAGCCCGGCGACTAGGCCTGTTCTCCGACTAGGCCGCCTGGGATCGACTTTTACGGATGGAACGTCACGATTCTACGATCCTTGTCCAGTTTCTGCAGCAGCAGAGCGAGTCACTGGCAGCGCTGTTGCTGCCAGACGACGGCCGTCGGCGCCCGGCGCGTCGCGCAGCAGCACATGCGCCGCGGCGATCGAGCACGGCGCGCCGTGTCAGCTGATAGCTGCTGAGCGCCGCTAACCCCGGCGCAGCAGCTGGCGGAGCGCCGCGCCACACGGCAACCTGACGGGACGCGCGGGCGGGTCAGGGGGAGTGGTACCCGACAGAATCAGCCACATCACAGCCACACCTACCTCACCCCACACCAGTGGCGGATCCAAGGGGGGGGGGGGTCACATGGGTCATGACCCCCTCCTTGGGGCTCGGGGGCACCACAGGCCCGCCAGGGGCACCACAGGCCCGCCAGGGGCACCACAGGCCTAGCAGGGGCACCACGGACCTGTCAGGGGCACCACAGGCCTGTCAGGAGCACCATCGGCCTAGCAAAAGCACCACAGGTCTGCCAGGACCACCACAGACCTGCCAGGGGCACCAGAGGCCTGCCAGGGGCACCGCCGGCCTCGCAGGAGCACCTTGGGCCTGTGGGGGCACTTCAGGCTTGTCAGGGGCACCACAGTCCTGTCAGGGCCCAGGGGCAGCAGTGGCTTAGCAGGGGCACCACAGGCCCGCCAGGGGCACCACAGGCCTGTCAGGGGCACCAAAGGCCTAGAAAGGGCACCACGGGCCTGTCGGGGGCACCAAAGGCCTGGCAGGGACACGTCAGGCTTGTCAGGACCCAGGGGCACCACAGTCTTTCCAGGGGCACCAGAGGTCTTGCAGGGGCACCACAGGCCTGTCAGGGGCACCACAGGCCTCGCAGGGGCACCTTGAGTCTGTCAGGGGCACCACGGGCCTGTCGGAGGCACTTCAGGGTTGTCAGGGGCACCACAGTCCCGTAAGAGCCCAGGGGCACCAGCGGCCTAGCAGAGGCACCACAGGCCCGCCAGGGGCACCGCAGGCCTGCCAGGGGCACCACCGATCTCGCAGGGGCACCTTGGGCCTGTCAGGGGCACCACGGGCCTGTGGGGGCACTTTATGCTTGTCAGGGGCACCACAGTCCTGTCAGGGCCCAGGGGCAGCAGTGGCCTAGCAGGGGCACCACAGGCCCGCCAGGGGCAGCACAGGCCTGTCAGGGGCACCACAGGCCTAGCAAGGGCACCACGGGCTTGTCGGTGATACCACGGGCCTGGCAGGTGCACCTCAGTCTTTTCAGAGCCTAGGGGCACCAGAGTCTTTCCAGGGGCACCACAGGCCTGTCAGGGACACCAGAGGCCTTGCAGGGGCACCACAGGCCTGGCAGGGGCACCACAGGCCTGGCAGGGGCACCACAGGCCTGCCAGGGGCACCACCGGCCTCGCAGGGGCACCTTGAGCCTGTCAGGGGCACCACAGGCCTGTCAGGGGCACCACAGGCCTGCCAGGGGCACCACAGGCCTAGCAAGGGCACCACGAGCCTGTCAGGGGCACCTCAGGCTTATCAGGGCCCAGGGGCACCACAGTCCTTCCAGAGGCACCACAAGCCTGTCAGGGGCACCAAAGACCTAACAGGGGCACCACAGGCCTGTCAGGGGCACCACCGGCCTCGCAGGGGCACTTTTGGCCCGTCAGGGGCACCACGTGCCTGTCGGGGACATTTCAGGCTTATCAGTGGCACCACAGTCCTGTCAGAGCCCAGGGGCACCGGCGGCCTAGCACGGGTACCGGCCTGCCAGGGGCACCACCGGCCTCGCAGGGGCACCATGGGCCTGTCAGATGCACCACTGGCCTGTCGTTGGCACTTCAGGCTTGTCAGGGGGCACCACAGTCCTTCCAGGGGCACCACAAACCTGTCAGGGGCACCTGCGTCCTAGCAGGGGCTCCACAGGCCCGCCAGGGGCAACACACACAAAATAAAATATATATTTAAAAAAAACAAAAAAAAAAAACGAAAATAGGGCACCACCAAAATGAAGTGGCCGAAATCCGATGAGTTTTTAATTTTGGGTATAGGTAGGGGCACCACTTCGATTCATGACCCTCCCCTTGGAGTTTTCC